GGTATAGGAATACAAGGTGAATAAGTCATTTGATGCTCTTGACATCAAAGAATTCAGTTGATACCATAGGCACCATAGTAGGAAATATATGCAGGGTGTTATGGGCATGAAAGAGAGCGTGCAACTTTTCTGGGATATTATCTTTGGAGAGGAAAGAAAGAAATTAATATCTGTGGTAAACATGCATTAATGAGTAATTTAAATTTTTAGAAATTTCTTCCTCTTCTTCCTCCTCCTCCTTCTCTTTTTCTTCCTCTTCTTCGTGTGTGTGTGTGTGTGTGTGTGTGTGTGTGTGTGTGTGTGCAGGTCTACACTTGCAGCATGTGCATGTGGATATCTGATGTCAACTTTTAAAGGTCAGTTATCTCCTTCCACAATGAGTTCCAGGGACCAAACTCAGGTTTGTACAACACGTTTTGCCTGCTGAGTCATCTCGCCAGCCATATTAATGATTTTGTAGTTATTGATTATCATCTCTAGGAAAACCAAAAAAAGAAAAACACCAAGACATATTAAGACTTGCTATGCCATGGAGAAATCACTAGATATTTGAGTACTGGATTAGTCTCCTATTACTGTATTAAGAAGCAACCACAATCGAGACAAGAGTGCTGGTCTCTAGTTCTGGAGGTTGAAAGCCCATAGTAGGATGGAAGAGCAGCACGCCTCCAGGAGGCTTCGGGAACTCCATTCCCTTGTATGTTCCTGCTTCTGAAGCTCTGCACGTTCCTTAATCCCTCGGCTCACGGCCCTTCACTCCAACCACGGCTTCAGTCTTCACTTCTCTAACCATCTTGCCTCAGCTTTAAAGACCCTAATGATCACATTGTGTTCCCCAGATAATCTACTCCAATCTCCTTCTGTCAAGATGCTGGAGTCAACCACACTTCAAAGTCTTTTTACCATGTAAGGTACAAGGTTTAGGGAGAAGGGCATAGCCATCTTCAGGGAGCATTCATTCTGCTTACTGTGATATTCCTATGGTGGTTTTCTATACACACACCAGTCCTCTGTCTCTCTCCAATAATCCAACATCCTCCTAAGATGGTCTTCCAGGATGATATAGTATAATTCAAATAAATATGAAACATTTCTGAGATTCTGAGTCTCCCACAGGATGTTTAATGAATAAAAATGTACGCATGGATTAAAAACCAATTAAGCAAAATCAACTGCGCTTGTAGGTATCCTCAACTGACAGAACTGAATTCTCTATAAATAAACTTCATATCAACAGAACAGGTAGCTTTTTGATTGACATGGGAGGGCCTTAGTAATCTTCAGACTGTTGAAGTGTTTGACATGACTCTATGTCCAGGTCATTATGGCATTTTAATAATGGCACAAGGTTTCAAAACATGAGACTTTGAAGGGCACTTGGTCCACTTTTGCATTACAGGTCAGTCTGAAGCTAATGAGAAGGTCATAATGGAATCCATTATGGCAGAACAACAAAGTATTGTTTAACAGCTCATTGAAGAGAGGGAAAAAGAGCATCTCAGGCTATTCCAAAATGTAATTCTGGTGATTCAATATCAAAAGCAGAATTAAGAAACGATACAGATGCACCAGATGAAAGCCTTTCTGTTTGAATTATTTTTTTCTATTTGTAATATATTGAATACATACAATTTCCTTTTATTGCATTTAATCCCACCAAAGAAATATCTTGTCTGTTAAATAAAAAAATGCTTCAATCAAGTACGTGGGGCTCTGATTGTCATAGCAAATAGACTTTCCTGTGCCAATTAAACTACCCAGTACAAAGCACATTGAAAAAAATCCCTCACAGGGGCCATGATTTAGCACTGATTAAATGTACTCTTTCCAATCCTGTTAATTTGTAACATTTATTGAGTAGTCACAAAAGTATTTGTCTTTCAAATTGCTCTGGGTATTTAACCCAGACTTTACCTGCTCCATTCCCGTGGTCCAGTGTTTGAAAGAATGGTAATACTGTGTATTCAGCTGTACAGGGCAGATATCCAAAAGATATCCAGTCCTCTGTTGACCTGGGTTCAATCCACAGAACACACATAAAAAAGCCAGGTGTGGTGGAATGCTTATGAACTCAGTGCTGGGAAGGCAGAGACAGGCAGATCTTTGGGTTTCACTGTCCAGCAAGCCTAGCTACAAAAGTGAGCCCCAGGGTGATGAGACGCTCTGTCTCAAAAAAACAAGGCAGAGGTGGACAGCTCCTGAGGAATGACACCTGAGGTGATCTTCTGGCCTCTGCACACATGTCCATACATGTGCACATGTACCCATACAGACATGCACTTACACACATAAATACACCTGCACACACATGAATATATGTACACACACACACACACACACACACACACACACACACAGAGGAATTGCCCTCTGTCACTTCCAAAATATAGCCCATTGCTCTGTTCCTTTGGCTGCACCTTATTTAAAATCCTTCTTGAGTCTCTCTGTTTTTCATTATCTCCATTCTTCACATTCTGGTCTAAGCTATGATAGCTTGGACAATAGCAATAACTTTCCAGATGCTCTTTCTGTATGTATTCTCCCCACTGGAGCTGGTATGATCTCCCATTCTGAAACCGTTTAGCTCCTAGAATACACATAGAACCCCTGCCCTGACCCCCAAGGCCCTGAGCTGAGGTGGGACCTGCTTAGGATGCAGCTTTAACTACCAGCACTTTGCTTTGTTCTCTCAACTTCAAGACCAATGCTGCTCTAGTAAGTTCCCCTGTTGAGTCACACTCCTTCCTACCTTCTAGTGTGTGCACAGGTTGTTACCGTTGTCCTGACAGCTCTTCCCTCCATCTTTGCCTCATTGGCTCATTCAAAGTATGGACTATCTTCAGAAATATAGTCTTACCTTCAAATTATGGGAGGTAATCAAGGGCTTTGGCAATAGTCTGTTATTTTGGGAGTCTCTTGGCTACCCTGACCAACAACTTGAAGGGAGGTGTCTCTTGCCTGGTACAGTGCTTTTTGTTATATAGCTTTCAGCTATACATATATGCACACACACACACACACACACACACACACACACACATATATATATATATATTAGTGGGCTAATATATACATATTACATGTATCATGTATTTTTCAGTAGGCCTTGAACTAATATATTTCCCTCTGGTTTTTCACACCATCTAGGAGTTACTTAACTCATTGTCACACACCCTATATAACCCTCCCTACTCCCTCCCTAGTGAAAGTCCCCCAGTCCCCCATTTCCCCTTTTATAACACCTATCTCCTGTGATCCCCCTATCTCAAGCTCCTTCTTCCCCATTCACCCCTATGCTTTATTTCTGTTTTCCTGGCTCCTGTGGTTACATCAGGATATATACTCACACCCAAGGATTTGGAGCTAAGATCCACAAATGAGAGAGAACATACATTGCTTTTTTTCTGAGTCTGTGTTACTTCATTTAGTATAACAGTTTTGAGTTCCATCCATTTACCTGCAAATTTCATAATTTCATTTTTCTCTAATGCTGAGCCACTGTGTAAATGTATCTCATTTTAATTATCCATTCATTAGTTAAGGGACATTTAGGTTCTTTTCGTTTCTTAGCTATTGTGAAAAGAGCAGCAACAAATATGGCTGAGCAAGGATCTCTGTAGTAGGATGAGTCCTTTGGATACATGCCAAGGAGTGGTATAACTGGATCACATGGTAGATTTATTTTTAGTCTCTTGGAGAGTTCTCCGTACTGATTTCCATAGTAGTCACATTAGTTTGCAATCCCACCAACAGTGGATGAGGGTTCCCTTTTCCTTGCATCCAGGCTGGCATTTGGTGTCTTTTGTTCTCTTGATCTTAGCCATTCTGACTGGGGGCAGATGAAATCTTAAAGTGGTTTTGATTTGCATTTCCCTAAGTACTAAGGATGCTGAACACTTTTTCAGATGTTTCTTAGCCATTTTTATTTCTTCTTTTGACAGCTCTCTGTTCATATTGATAGCCCATCTTTTAATTGGGTCATTTGTTTTCTTGCTTCTTTGTTTTCTTGAGTTCTTTGTATATTCTGGATATTAATCCTATGTCAGATGTATAGCTGGTGAAGATTTTCTTCCACTCTGTGGGCTTCTTCACTCAACCTGTTGCTTCCTTTTCTCTACAAATGCTTTTTAGTTTAGAGGTCCCATTTGTCAATTGTTGACCTTAATTCCTGGGCAAATAAATGATTTCAGAGCTGGAAAGTTCTTTCCTGTACCTGTATCTTGTAGGGTATTGCGTATGTTTTCTTCTAAAAGTGTCAGAGTTTTAGGCTTAACATTAAGGTCTTTGATCTATTTGGAGTTGACTTTTATACAGGATGATAGGTATGGGTCTATTTCCATTCTTCTGCATGTGGAGATCTGGTTTTGCCAGCACCATTTGTTGAAGATGCTGTCTTTCCTCCAGCCTATGTTCTTGGCACCTTTGTCAAATATCAGGTGGCTGTGATTTTGTGCACTTATGTTTGTGCCTTCGATTGTGTTCCATTGATTTACAAGTTTTTTTTTTCTGCTAATACCATGCCACTGTTTTTATGATTATACCTCTGTAATATAGATTGAGATCTGGTGTATTAATCCTCCTGGTATTGGTCTTTGTGCTCAGGATGGCTTTGGCTATCTGGTGCCTTTTGTGATTCCAAATGAATTTTTTCTGCAAAGAATGTCGGGAGGATTTTGATTGAGATTGCATTAAATCTGTAAATTGCTTTTAGTGGATGGTCAGTTTCACTATATTAACTCTACTAATCCATGAGCCTAGGAGGTCTTTTCATGTCCGCGTCTTCCTCAATTGCTTTCTTCAAAGATTTAAAATTTTCACTGAAGACTTAAAAATATTTATTTATTTATTATTATTGCTTTTTGTTATTTACTTATTATTATCACTTTTTAAAATGTGTACTGCCTGCCTATATGTAAGGGCACCTGCGTGGTGAAATGCCCGCAGAGGTCGCAAAACGCCGCGCACAGCCCTTCGCACTGCTTTACGGCATTCGCCCCGCCCACCCTAGTACCGGAAGTGTGAAGCCGGCAGGCATGGCGGCTCCCTGCTTCTTCAGCCGGCTCTGGAGAGCGGCTTTGGCGCTCTTGGCTCTAGGCAGCTTGGCCGCTAGTCAGATCGAGGTAGGCATCGGACTTTGTTGAGGACTGAACCCCGGGAGGCCGGGCGCAGAGGCGGGACGCACAGCCGCGTGGAAGCCGCCTGCAGCACCTGCCTGGCCGGGCTGGGCGGTGGGCAGAATGCGGCCTTTGACGCTGTGCAGTTACGGCGCCAACCGTGCGACCGAGCTGGACCAGTGCCGTCAGCCCTACTCTGTGCAGCCTTGCGGGTCACCTCCCCCCTGCAGCGCTTGCAGTCACTCCTACTGTGTGCAGCTTTGCGAGTCACCCTCCCCCCCACCTGCAGGGAATTGCTGTCAATCCTATTGTATGCAGACTTGCTGGTCATCTCCCACCTGCAGCGCACGCTGTCACTCCTACTGTGTGCAGCCTTGCGGTTCACTCCCCCCACCCCCCTGCACACAATTGGATTGACGGGAATTGCCCATCAATGTTGCGAGTCACCTCCCACCTGCAGCTCTTGCAGTCGCTCCCACTGTGTGCAGCCTTGTGGGTCACCTCCCGCACCTTCAGCGCATACCATCACTCCTACTGTGTGCAGCCTTGCGGGTCACCTCCCCGACCTGCAGCGCATACACTCCTTTGGCTGTGGTGTTTTGTCTCACGGGCCCTGTCCTCCCTCTGCTCTAGGCCACAGGACACCCGGTTCTCTCCGGTGTTTCCCCAACGAAGTAACTAGATTTCTAGCATCATTCTCGGCCTCCCTGTCCACCCGGCTCAGGGACCCTGGCCATCAGCAGACATTTGAAAAGCTGTGTCCAAAGTTTGAACACCTGCTTATCCCTCTGCCTTTAAAAAGACCCTGAACAACTGGGGCTACAGGGAGACCTTGTCTCAAAAAGACCAAAAAAAAAAAAAAAGAAAAGACCCTGAAAATTTAGGTAAAAATCCCCCATTTCCCAACCTAGAAGTGTGTGGTAAGCTGGAAACCTGAGAGGTTTGGTTTGTCTGTGACAGGGTCTCCCAGCAGGTCCAGCTGGCCTGGAACTTTCTATGTAGACCAGGCTGGTATTGAACTCAAACTCTCCGCTAGAGTGCAGTAGTTTCCTAATTGCTCTGCCTGGAGGCATTGTGTATTCTAGTCTTCTCCAGCTGCAGCCAGAATAACTTTTCAGATGCCAACCTGATCATGTCACTCAAATGTACCTTAGCAATGCTCTAAAGATAAAAGTCTTGTGTCTCACAAAGCTCTGCCTTTCTCCATTCTCTTGTTTTCCTTCTAAATGCCTGGTCATGTTAAACTGAGTTTCTCAAACCACTGGGGCCTCTGGTCCACTTTCTTTGTCTAGGATTGTCTTTCAGGCTTTCTTCATCTTTTGAATCTTAAGTCAAATGTCATTTCTTTAGGAAAACCTTCTCTGAGGAAGTCAGATCCTCTTATTGAAAACATTGTTTATTGTCTTTATAGTTGGCTTTTTGCTGATGTGTCTGTTCAATTGAACAGTCACCCCTGAAGGCAGGTATGGTGACATACCGTTCTTACCACTGGCAGGTGTCCAGTGAATGCAATGAATCAGTAATGTTGCATAATAACTCAGTGCGTTTGCACATTCACCTGTTTTAAACCTTGATGTTCTTGAGAGAAAACAGCATGCTTTCTAGTTTTCATTCCACTGTTATGTCACGGTGTGTAATAGCTCCAATGACTGTATGTAGAGTGAATAACTTTACATTGACTCTATCAGTTTTTTTCAGTAAAGTCTTCATGGAGTAAGAATGTTGGTCTGGAAAGTACAGTAGCGATGGCTTAGGTCATCTTCTTTTCTGCAGGAGCGCCTCGTAGCCAGCTGGATTGTAGCTCAGGCCTTCAAGTCCTGAAAGCAGTGCTTTGTCTGCCGTTCTTAGTGCGCAGGCAGCTGTTGAGAAAGGTTTGGAAGGCAGGAACAAGTCTAATCTCACATACTCCAGTGAAGCTTTTTGTCTCTGACTTTTCGCACTAGCCAGCATTGTTAGGCACTCACTGTGTTCCATCACTATCCTACATTCAGTGAGTCAGGTATCATTTTGTACACTGGAAAATGGAGGCATGAGAACATAAGCAACTCGCCAGTGTTTGTGTAGCTAGTGAGCAACAGATCCAGATTTGAACCCAGACTCTCTGACTGCTCTAGTATTAGTGCACTTTGGACCTGACGTCTGAGATAAGATGGTTTACAGTCATTATTGTTTTAATGATGCTTAAACTTGTGTTCATTAGTTGGGAAGATGGTGTTGGATTCTGAAGTTTTTAATGTCTTGCATTGTAAATGTAATTCTGACTTATTGTAATTGGCACATGGCACTGAGCTAGAGAATATACTCAAATATATTCATGAGTTCAAATACAGTACTCAGTTATACTAGGAATGGATATTGAATGACATTTTGACAGGAAAGATGAATTCTTATAAGTAGAATCTAGACATTATAAACTTACAACTTAAGGATGGACTGGAAAATTAGAAACATATGTAGAAGACTTGTCTGTGTTTTGAGGTGAAATGTTTAAAACAAATGGCCCTGTAGTCATATCACCCCCCCACACACACACACAACAGCAAGAACAGCAGCAACAGCGAGAGAAATTGAAAACTAGAAACAACAACCGAGCCATTTTCATGGAGCTGGAACACATTTCATTTTTCTGTCATTGGTGTTCACATTGTGACTGATGCTAAAGGAGCAAAACCACAGAGATTTTAGGGACTCATGGCAGTAATTATCTGCTGATTTAAGGCTGAAAAGACTGTCAGAAACTTGGGTGAATTATTTTGTTTTAGTAGAGGAGACAAGGCGATGGTGTTATTTTTTCCTAACAAGCCCAGGATAAAGGCTTTTTTATTCTGTTCTACTAAATGTGGCATTAATCTGAGAAGGTCTTAACAACCATTTGCATATTATATTCTCAATACAGAGAAAGATTGTCTTAACAGTGGGGTTACCACAGTATAATCTGAAGGGAGATTTTGAAGTTTATAGCTTCATGATGCACCCTCATGTGTATTATCTTTTTATTCTGACCTATCATGTGGTATGTTTTCTACGGGATGCTCTTTCTTTGGTCACTGACGTGTTTATTAGAAATCCACCATGTGCCAGATGTGGAATGCACTGGTGAATCTAACTGGTGATGTCTCTGTCCTTTTGGAACCTGCATCTTGTGGGAAGAGACAGTGAGTAGTGCACACAGTGTATTAGTGACCCCCAGAAGATACGAGCATGGTGCTCACACGAAATCATGAAGGGAAATGGCGGGTGAGGCTGTAGTCTCAATGATGACCTTGTCAGTTGTTTTAACCAGACAGATCCTGTGTTCACTACTAAACACCCAACAGTTCTCCGAGTGTAAGGAGGAATGAAGTGTGACTTAACACTCTTTCATTTATTTAATGTTTTCTAGTTTTAAAGCAGAGACTCAGGTGATGTTTCTACAGTCCCGTGACAGGACCTTGTGAAGCAGGGTAGGCATTGTGTGTGTATAGAAAGAGTGTGAAAAAGGTGGTGTGAATTTGTGTTTATTTATTTATTTTGGTGCTAGAGATTGAACCCAGGACCTGCAGCATGCTAGGCAAATGCTCTACCACTGATCTGTGCCCTCTGTGCAGGAGTCAAGCATCTGAGTTTAAGTTACTCTGTTTAGTCACTATCTCAGGAAGGCTGCAACCCAGATCTCCAGATTTCCAGGTTAAGACTTTTTTTTCATACAGTATCTTAAGCCAGGGCTTTTTGCCTTCAAAAGTATCTTTTTAAAATTATGTTTATTTTTTTAATCGTGTATGTCTGTCTATGCATGTGGGCACGTGTGTGCCATGGCACATGTGTAGAGGTCAGAGGACAACTTGAAGGAGGCCATTCTTTTCACCATGTGGGTCCAGGGATCAAACTCAGGTCATCAGGCTTGGAACAAGTGCCTTAGCCTCTGTGCCATTTTGCGAACCCCCCAAATAGTATGTTAAAGTAGTTCCTGTTTTAAGTTTGGTTATTTTGTCCGTAAAGTCAAATACCAAGATTTTCTTCATAAACTGAAGAAGCCCGTGAGTCTTAACTGTCATTTGTCACTTATTCTGAGAAATTTTATGTTTTTAAAAACTCATTGTGCTTTATTTGTCTACTAGGATCAAGCAAAACAGTTCTTCAGAAGTGGCCATACAAATAACTGGGCTGTTTTGGTGAGTGTGCTATAAAGATCCATCTTGTCATATTAGATACATATCTGGAAACTTCTGTGAATAGTGAATCAAATTTTTGAAAATAAAATTTAGCTTAAATTTTTTTGATAGCTCTCAATCTTTCTCCTTCTTCCCTCTCTTCCTGTGTCTGTCTGTCTGTCTGTCTGTCTCTGTCCCTTGAGATAGGGTCTCAAGTAGTTCAGTCTTGTTTCTAATTTATAATATAGGTGAGGTAGGCCTTGAACTCCTGATGTTCCTTCCTCCACCTCCTGAGGGCTGGGTTACAGGTGTGTGCCAACGTGCCCAACTCAGAAATTTAAAAAAAAAATTGTTTTGTACTTAAATTTTTTTTGATTTATTTATGTCTATTTTATGTGTATGAGTGTTTTGCCTGCATGTGTGTAAGTGCACCCGGGCATACAGTGCCTGTGGAATCCTGGAACTGGAGTTACAGGTGGTTGCTAGATGCCATGTGGGTGCTGGGAACTGAACCTGGGTCCTTGGCAAGAGCAGCCAGTGCTGTTAACTGCTGAGCATCTCTCCTGCCTGTCCCACCCCCAGCTCAGAAATTCTTTATTTTGACTTTATTTTAAACTAACTACATTAACTAATAATAATGACTAATAATGTTCCTTGTTCAGTTTATCCATGAAGTGGTGACCTGTGGATAAATGTAAGAATAAATTTGAGGTGGTCTTGTCCAAAGAGTATTTTACATAATGTAGAATTATTTTAGTGCTGAAAATGAGTAATAACATTTTTTACCTATAGTATTAGTTTAAAGATACTTAGGCTATTTTATTATAATTGATATTTACGTTTACAAAACCATTAAGAAAGGTTTCAGAGGAGAAAAGACAGACTAATTGTATGTTATACTAATTTCACTCAATTAAAGGGAGGGAGTGTTTTCACATCCCTGAGTCAACACTCAGTGATGCTGTTTCTTCTCACATAGAGAAGACAGACAGAAGGTATAAAGCTGTATACATGATTTTCTGCACCGGCTTTGTGCCTGGTCTTCTGTTTTGCATCGCCTTAGTGTATCTTGAGGCTACTTATTGATAAACAGATTTATTATTTTTCCAGTGGCTGTAAATTTTTCTATGAGTCTTTCATTATCTTCAGTTTATGGACATTGAGATTCTGAGTTTTTATTATTTCAGTCACAACTGTGTTGAATATTCTTTTGTTTGTGGTTAATATTTTTTTTTATCGGTATGAGTGTATTGCCCGCATGTGTATAAGTGCACCTGTGTTGTGCAGTGCCTGTAGAAGTCAGAAGAGGGCATCAGATCCCCTGGAACTGGAGTTACAGATGGTTGTTAGCCCTGTGTGGGCGTTGGGAACCCAACCCAGGTCCTCTGCAAGAGCTTAACTGCTGAGCTGTCTCTCCAGCCCCGTTTTTGAGATGGGATGGAGTGTCTCACTCTGTAGCCCAAGCTGGCTTCATACCAGTCCTGCTTCAGTCTCCCCAAGTGCTGGGATTACAAGTGTGAGCCACCACATCTGGTGAATGAATGAACATTCATTTTCATTCTCTCTCTCTCTCTCTCTCTCTGGATTTTTTTTTTTTTTTTTCCAGACAGGGTCTCAGTGTCTCTCGTAGCCCCAGCCAGCCTTTGGCTGCATATTCTTAAACATAGGTTTTTGTGAATTTGACTGATTTTTCTCTTAAGGATCAATTCCTAGGCATAAAACCATGTAGTCATGAAGTATCCTTGCCCTCCAGAAAGGCTGTATATCTCTTTTTGAATCCAGGTCAGCTGTGTTTTATTAACATTTTTCTTTTGACTGCTGGGCAAGAAATTCAATGTTGTTTTAACTTGCATTATTTCAGTTCTTTGCAAGGTTTGCTTGTTAGCTTACTTTTCTCCCCTTCTGCCTTTATCCCCTTTGTGTTAATTGATATCTTTAATATATCTGGATTCATAAGCTTGTATTTTTCACTCTCCAAATAGAATACATGTAACTTATTGCATATTGGTAATTTTTACTACTAGGGTTTCGTTGAATGCTGTATGGTTAGAAATGGAATGAGTTTGACTTAACAAAAAAACGTAAATATTGTGTACTCTTGTTTTCTGTCGCTATAAAAAAATCTGAGACTGTGTAAACACAAAGAAGACAGATTTGTTTAGCTCCCTTCCCAGAGGGGGAAGTCCGAGAAGCTGGTGTCAGCATCTGTGCATCTGGGATGACCTTCTCACTACCTTCACGTCACCAAAGGTATCACGTGGTGAGGCGGAGCAAGTTTGCCAGCTCACATCTTCTTATGAAGCCACTAATGCCACCACCATCAGGGGACTCCAACCCGGTGACTTTATCTGATCTTAACTACTACCCAGAGACCCCACCTCCAAACCTCTTCATCATGTGAAGTTGGGCTTAAGTCTTGAACACACGAAATTTGGGGATCATATTTAAATGCTAGTGGGGGCAGCCAGGAGAGCAGTCAGGATAGGAAGTCAGGAAAGGAGACTGGCTTTTGTAAAAGAAAAAGGGAGCTGGGCAGGAGAAATGGCTCAGTGGTTAAGAACACTGACTGTTCTTGCAGAAGACCCAGGTTCGAATCCCAACACCCACATGGCAGCTAACAACTGTCTGTAACTCCAGTTCCAGGGATCTGACAGTCTCTTCTGTCCTCCACAGGCACTGCACGACACAGGTGCACTCACCTACATGCAGGCATAACACTCACACACATAAAATAAAAATAATAAATTAAATATTTAATATTTATATTTAATTTAATTAGTATTTAATCATTTAATAATAAATTAAATATTTATTTAAATATTTATTTATTTATTTTTATTTTATGTGTATGAGTGTATTGCCTGCATGTAGGTGAGTGCACCTGTGTTGTGTAATACCGTGGAGGTCAGAAGAAGGCTTCGGATTCCCCTGGAACTGGAGTTAAGGACAGTTCGTAGCCACCATGTGGGTGCTGGGAATCGAACCCAGGTCCTCTGCAAGAGCAGTCAATGCCCTCAAGCACTGAGCCATCTCTCCAGCCCCTAAATAAAATATTTTAAATAAAAGAGAAAGGGAGCCAAGACTGTACATTATTAGCACCATTAACCCCTGCTGGGAAGGAAGGAGACTTGAGCACAGGAGTTGCAGGAATATAGTGGGACTATAAAGTAGCCCTGGCGATGCGTAGGGATGACACTGCCCATGGTGGGCTGGACCTTGTAAGAAAGCAGGCTGAGCAAGCCAAGGGAAGCAAGCCAGGAAGCAGCATCCTCTATGGTCTGGGCTTCAATTCCCGCCTCCAGGTTCCTGCTTGAATTCCCATCCTGGCTTCTCTTGACGATAGGCTAACCTGTAGGATGAAGCAAACCCTTTTGTCCCCAAGTCATGGTGTTAATGACAGCAACAGAAAGGGAACTAAGACAACGACTAAATTGCAAAATAAGCAGAATACCTGTTAACTTCCTAAGGCCAAAGGTAGCTTGTTTAGGGTTTTCTAAAAGTGCCTGATTATCTAGGTTGCTAGAAATAAAGTACAGTTGCTGTGAACGTTTGAATCAGGTGCAGTTATATTATGATTAAATAGAATTGTGTAGCATGGGTTCATGGCTCATTTTCTCGTTCTTTAAGAAATAATATCCCGAATATGCTGTTTCTTATGAGATTTTAAGAAGCTTGAGATAAGGAGAGAGGTTTTCAATGACTACTTAAAAGTAAGGACAGTTATGAAAACCCAGACCACAGACACACCAGCTAGAAAGGAAACGGTTGTTCTTTGGGAGACAAGGCTCTTCCCTGATTAGTCACTCTGAGGAACCTTAGATGAGGGATAACTGCCAGTGTGCAGACGCCCAGGTGGCGCAGGAATCCAAAGCTGTTAGCTCGTGTTACACACGCATCACAGCCTTTCCTTGCTGGGAACCTGACCGAGCCCTCCTCCAGTCTCAGTAACCTGGGCTTCAGATAGAGTGTGAGGAAGATAGGACTGCGGCTTCACGGCGCCAGTGTCCGTATTTTACATACTGCCAGTGAGATTGTAATCAACCGTGTGATCGTTTAAGAAATTAAACAGAAAATTACAAAATTTGACCATTTGAAAGTACCAGAAATGGGGCTGGGGAGATGGGCCAGTGGTAAAGTGCTTGCTGTGCATGCATGGAGACTCGAGTTCAGATGCCCAGTACCACGTAAAGGTTGAGAGGCCGAAGGCATCGGTAACCCCAGCACTGGAAGCCGGGTGGAGCTCCCTGGTCAGCCAGCTCATCCGCATCGATGAGCTCCAGGTTCAGTGAGACCCTGTCCAGAAAGTAAGGGGAGAGCAGTGGGGGAGGACAGCCGGAGGTGCGTTCTGCTGGGGTGTGTTCACGCTTCACACACACGCACACTTTTGTGTGTGCCCACGTGCACATGAACAGTGCTCCCTCTCCCAAAGTATAAGAAATGCATTCTGTTGCTGTTAGGTTAGTCAGATTTTTATTTTTATTTTTTTAAATCCAAGTTTGTTTCTCAATTTGAGGTAATTTGAGCTTAGTCTTGACTTGAAGACCTGAAATAAACGACTCTTGCCACCAGAGGGCGCTAGAAGGAAAGCTGGTTTGTATTTTGGCCTCCAGTCTAGTTTGTAATTTTCCTTTTTTGCTGTTATTTAGTAAAACAAAAAATATGAAGACACTCCATACTCACAGGTAGAAAATTTTCTGTGACAAAAGGTCTAAAGGGAAGTCACTGCTCCTCTGTGCCGTTCTCCTCTCTGCTGATCGCTTGCTAGCTTCTCGGGTCCTCAAAATTCAGCAGGAATGCTTGCCGCTGCACTGATTCTAGTTTTGAAAAGCTGATGGTTCACACATATGCTCTTTTACAACTGGTTATTTATTTCATTCAGTGAATATTTAATATTTTATATTAAGCTGATATTTTCTGGTCTTTTATTCTTTTCCTATTAATGGTCTCTCTACTCACTATTAATTTACGAGCTAATAATTTGATATTGAAAATGAGAGCAGTTTCTTATGTTTATGCTTATTGAATAATGTAACAGATACAAGAGCCTTTTATAAATGCATAAAGTGCAACGAAAACCTTGGCTTTTATTATTGGCTAATTTGTTGTAATTTTTCTTTACTTTTTTTTTGCTTCAAGTTAGGGAACCTGCAGGGTTTTTGGAAGTAATTTGTATCCATCTTTTTTTTTTTCATTTTTCTCAGGCACCCTGTTGGAAAAGCCAGAGAACATGCTTTGTGTACCTGTATGTGCTAAATGAAAAGACACGCACTTTTAGATATAATGAGTTTGACGCTTTTTATATGGTGAAAAACTTATTCTTTTCTTTATTGCATTCTAGAATGAAAATTCACTTTAATTATATATTTTTATAAAACTATAGTTCCTTTTTATTGGGCAGGGGCAGGAGCCCCTGAACTAGTCTGAGGTTAGCCATGTCTCCTGCTGTGGGCACAGGCATGTGGCAGGACGCAGGAGGGTGGCTGCAGTTTCTTTGCCCGTCTCCTTAGAGTGGATTTCCAACTGTTGAGGAATAAAATTAAACTTTTGATATTTTAGGTAATCCTTTTATTTAAGTGTAAAATTTGGTTAAATTGTTTCTAGTTTTCAGTTCAGTAGCTTTATAATACATTTTCTTATTGTGTATGAAACTGGTTTGTTGTATTTTGGTGTCTTAACTTCCCACAACTAGTGAAGCAGTTAAGACAGAAGATGGCATCATGGAATCAAACACAGCCATTCTGGGAGGACTGTCGGCATCTTCTCTGATTCTGTAGAGTGCAGTCTTTTAGAAGTAGGAAGGTTATAGAATCTCAGAAATGGAGATGAACTGCGTGGGTTCAGTATTTGATTAAATTCCTCAAAGATTTGTTTTCTTTTTCTTTTTATTTACTATCAGTTATGAAAGCCTCTCTTTAGAGAGATTGGTCTTATTGATGATTCTGTATGATCTGTGATGTTTCTAAGCATGAAACTCTTAGGGCATTTCTGTATCAGTCTTCAAGAAAAATCATTCTGTAAATCCATAGTTTATTTTTACTTGTAAAAATCATATTTTTTGTTTTAATTCTAGGTGTGCACGTCCCGATTCTGGTTTAATTACCGACATGTTGCGAATACTCTCTCTGTTTATAGAAGTGTCAAGAGGTTAGGTATTCCTGACAGGTAAGACATCCAAGTGTAATTCTGAACCTCAGTGAAGGTGACTCTTAGATGCTAGTACTATGTTTGTGTTTTGTGATGTGTTTGAAAGAGGTAAAGAAACCTGATTTGAAGTTTTTGTTGTCAGAGCCTACTGTCATGTGTGAGGTAGGTGCTAATGTAATCAAAATAGCCGGTCATATAGAGAACAGAGAACTACTAGGGCACTGTGGTTTGACAAAGTTTATTTAGTGTTGTTCAGTAAGTGCTTTGTTTAGGGGTTTTTTTAATAGAAAGTATATTGATTTGTTAACTGAACTCTTAGGACAGTAGCCTTAAATAATCAATAATAATAAAGACCAAATAGCTGAAAACACAGCTGAAAACATAATGTAAGACCAGTTTGGTGAGTGTTGTGCAAATTGCTGAACCTGGACTTGGCACTGCAGTGCTGAGGTTGCCTACAAGTGCTTAACATTGCTGTACCTCCTGCTGCCCGGAGCCGGCCTCCACACTCAGCGTCTTTCTCTCTCTTCTAGAGCGCCTGTTGGGAGGCCATGTTGGCAGAGCCTAGGTCAAGTGCCTGTGTCTGTGCTGCAGGGTGAACAGATGAGCACATTGGAGTTGTGTTTTCTGCGTGGAAAGATGGTCTCTGCCTCCTGTGAAGAGTCCTAGTGGGAAATGTTCTCCTATGGGAAGGGAGGTCAGGTGCCTCTACTGACCATGTAGTCTACCTTTGCTTTGTCTGTCAAGGATTTGTTTGTGCAGCAGTAAGAGCTGGAGACCAGTCATTTCAGTCATTTAGGTTTGATTTATTTTGTGGCAAGACCTTTGTTCATGGTGATGTAATTTAAAATCTGGCTCGATGGTCTTCATTTGTTACATGGGACCGTCTTTGCAGGATTGGAGTAAAAACAGGACTGAAGTGCTGTTGAGGCAGAAACAAAGCCATGCATGCCTTGAGAAACAAAGTTCTACGCTGTGTTCTCAGCAAATGGATCATTTAGTTCGAGAACCTAACAAAACTGTAACTTAATTCCTGTATTTCATTTGAAATCAACACACCTAGATAATATTACTGTTTTAAAGTTAAATTAACTCTGAGAAGGAATGGATTTAGTTGAGTATCCCAGTGCTCTAGTTTGTGTCTGTTGCTGTGATAAAATACTAACTAAAACCAGCCTGGTGGAGAAAAGGTTTTTTGGCTTACAGGTTACAGCCCATCATTGAAGGAAGCCAAGGTGGGAACTCAAGGCAGGAGCTTGAAATGGGAACCGTGGAGGAGTGTTGTTCATTGGCTCACTTCCCCACCTTACCGTGGAGGAGTGCTGTTCATTGGCTCACTTCCCCACCTTGCTCAGCTGCCTTCTTACACGGCCCAGGCCCAGCTGCTCAGGGATGGCACCACCCATGGTGGCTTGGGCCCGCCTACATCAAGTAGCAATCAAGAAAATGCTCCACAAACATGCCCACAGGCTAGTCTAATGGAGGCAGCTCCCCAGTTGAGAGTCCCTCTTCCCAATTATATGTAGGTTTGTGTCAAGTTTGCAGAACTAACCAGTATAACTCAAGTTTCACAAACAAGCACATCACTTTAAACCATGATCTTTACTTTCTTGTTTTTCCCCAAGATTTCACATTAATATCATAATATAAAAATGATCTAACCATTAGACCATTAAAAGGTCACTTTTAAAATTAATTTAATTAAAATTTTTTGTTAATTGATTTTTTTAACTGGTTGATTTTTAAAGCCATAATTAGTTTATAAAACAAAGTCAATATATTTTTAGCTTTAAATTTTTTGTTCTATGATTGTTTTAGTTTTATTATGTTGATAATTTCATAATTTTACTAGAACTATGTCAATATATTTCTTAATTTTTAAAAAAATATTATTTTTATTTTTTATGTGCATGAGTGTATTGCCTGCATGTATGTAAGTGCACCTGTGTCATGCAGTGCCTGAGGAGGTCAGAATAGGGTGTCAGATTCCCTGGAACTGGAGTTTGAGATTGTTTTTTCTTCCATGTGGGTGCTGGGAATCGAATCTGGCTTGCAGCCAGGGCTCTTAACCAATGAGCCATCTCCCCAGCCCCATCTATGTTTTGTAAACAATTTCCAAATGGTGTCATAGTTATTGTCAAGATGATTTTATTCAACCTTCAAATTTTCTTTCTCTTGTCTCCGGCCACCACCCAACAGATTTTTTTTTTTTTTTCTGAGATAATCCTTAAAAATGTAGATAAATAAAATTTTTTTTTTAAAGAAGAAGAATTGATGAAAGCAGCAGAATGTGCTGTGATGGTAAAGTGTCTTTAGCCTTACTTAGTGCTCTTAGGCTATCCAGGACTGGCTGTTAGAATTCTGCTCATAGGTGATTGTTTTTAAGGGAGCTAGCCTATCTCTGCACAAAGTGAGCAAAGTGAGGTCACTATGAGCTGTCAACACTGAGAACAGAGGTCCTTACCAAAAGAGCTGCTTAGCTTCAGGTGTCAGGACGGTGTGGAAATGACACCCCATGGAGAGTGAAAGCAAGTGGGAGACAGGCTGGGATCAAAAGCCAAGTACATTCTATGACTAGCTTCCCCTAGTGGCTCAGCAGATACGCCATGCTGGTCACCAACAGGACAGACAAGTCACTCCCAAAGGTTTTCATGTGCTTCTTGGGCAACAGTTGATTTTGATTTTGACTTTTTTTTTTTTTCCAGAGCTATTCCTGCCTAACTTAATGGTGAGGAACTCAGGCTTTCACAGTAACTTTTATTTAAATCATAACATAAATCCAAAGATGTTTCCAACAAAAAAAATGTAAATAATGGGGTTGCATCTCGATTCTGAGATATTCTGACCATTCTGTGCTTTCCATCTCACTTCGGCAGTTCATCCGTCTCAGCCTCCATGATGTTCCTGCAGGTGTGTAAGACACTTTGTGTCAGTAGGAGCTGAGTGTGCTTTAAGGGGAAGAGTGACCTAGGAACAGTGACCCAGGAGATCAGAGACTCAGGAGAACAGTGGCCAGGAGATCAGTGACCAGGAAATCAGTGACCAGGAGATTAGTGACTAGGAGATCAGTGACCATGAGATCAGTGACCCAGGAGATCAGTGACCAGGAAATCACCTTCTCTTACCCCACTCCCTTGTTGACCCCTTCTTGCCAGTTAGTCCCTCTCTGTGATCATGCCTGTTTTTAAGGTTTTCTGTGACCCACTGAGTTTAATTAGGTTGCTTGCGTGAACATGGGTTCTTTACCAGGTATAGATAGGCAACTTACCAGTGACTACACCACTGAATGAAATGCCTCCTTCTCTTAGCAACCATTAACAGCCAGTAACTCCTCAGGGAGGGATGGGGCTTCATGAGCCCCTCCTCGACCCATGACAGAGTGTTGACAGACCCAGTCTTGTGTAGGTTTTGTGCAGGTCACCACAGCTGCTGTGCTTGATGAGTGCAGTGGCCATGTCATGTCCAGAAGACAGCATGGCGCACCCTCCTCCCCGACCTCCCTTATGTCCTCGTGCTTTCTCTTCTGCAGTTTCCCTGAGCCTTAGGAGTGGCACAGATGACCTGTTTGGCCGAGCACTCAACAGCCGCTTGTTCTCAGCACTTTGACCAGTTAGTTGGGTCTCTGCGGTAACCACTGTCCACTGTGAAAGGAGGTTTCTCTGACAAGGCTGAGAGTGACACGAATCTCATGAGGCTGGTCTCTGTGGTCAGCAGCTTCAGGGGACAGACATGTGGTCTTCCACATTAATCAGTTTGTCGAGTTCTTAGAAGAAAGATCTTTGTTGAGATTGTGATTTGCATTGGAGTGAGTTGATAGATTAGTTTCTTTTGGGTATTAAACTTTTCCATTTATGAATGGACTGTATTTCCTTTTAATTATGTGTTTAATAGCATTAAATTAACTTTCATAATTTTAGTGTGTTTCTCATAAGCATCTTTGGTAGGATGTTTTAGTTGTTTTACTTTTTTGTTCACATTGTAAATAATATATTTTCCCAAATACGTTGCTGTGTGTGCAGTTTGGCTTTGTATGTTGTTCTAGAAACTTGTTGAACATTAATTAACTTTAAGAATGATGATATATTCTTTTCTGAGAATTGTAAAATTGCACACAATGCCAGCTTCCTTTTTTTTAAATCTTTGTACCTATAATTAAAATCTTCAGAGACTTTTCATATTTGAAATTTGGGGGGTAAAAATTGTCTTTGATATCCTCAGAATTCCAAAGAAATGTTTATTTTATGCTTAAGAAAAATATGTTCTTGAGGTAAGGTGATTTTTAACTGTGTGTGGTAGTTCTAATGCTAGGAGCTGGGTGCAATGCTTTTATTACATGACATTGCCCAGTTCATCAGTACAAACAGATAATGGAATGAAGAGAAAGGGTAAGTGAAAGCAATTAATTAAAGATAAAGAAGAATGTTGACAGAGCTCATGAAACTTGTGTTTGCACAACTTCCTGTGATGATTTATGTCATAAGTGTTTACCTACTAACATTACTAAAATGCAACAGCCAATCCTCAGAGCTTTCTTCTGTAATAAACTTTCTACATAACTGTTCATTTATTTCAACTTGAGGATAACTTGACAAATTATTTTTGTTTTCACTTTGGTACTCTCCATGAAGCAGCCTACTGGTGTTTTACATCCAGCATTTTGACTTAGTTTTCTAAGAATTTGCAATGGTCCTATTAAATAACTTTGTTTAATGATCGTTTTGAAGATAAATTATAAGTCAGGAGCGCTCAAAGACCGTGTAAACCTAGGGATAGTGCAGTCGAGAAGGGAGGTGATGAGCATGACACGGAAGGGCATATGCAGGCCTTGGTGTCATGTGACTTGTTTCAGCTGTTCTGTTAGGGAGTTAGGCCCAGGCCAGGAGATGGGCTGGGGTGATGACTCTGTTCCTTTTGCTTGAGGTTAGCCCCAAACCAACCCAGAGCAGTGAGAGGGGTATATGACACAGAGAGCGAAATTTGAGGGTAAAAAGTGCTTTTGTAGCCCTTAGAATTCCAAA